ACACACACACACACACACACACACACACACACACACACACACACACACACACACACACTGAAGACAGGTCAATTAGAATTTTTCTGTGCAAACACAAAAAGAAAAAGACAATTTTTTTATCTTTTTTTTTCTTGCTGCCTTTTATCTCCCTGACGAGTGAAAAGTAAAGGTTTTTCTAAGTTTTGTCCACAGTCAGGGGAGCAGCCTGGCTTTGTGTTTTTAAGCTCTGCTTTAATCCCAGAATCCGGTCCGAGCAAACAGACTTTCTAAAGACTCACTGCTGGGTGCAGACAGAGCAGAGGCTGGGYGAGAAAACAATGGGAGTCTACATTATTAAGTGCATCAAAGTTTTTCTATATGCTGCGTCCGTGCTGAAGAAAAAAACAAACTTGGATACAAACCGCAGATTGCTGCTGGTAAGAACTGCTGCTTATTGTTGGTTAAACGTCTGATTGCTGCACGAACACCAGGGTTAGGATCTGAGCTGAAAAACGATCCTAATTTGTTTTTAAATTAAAATTGAAGTGATGGGACACTAAACATGTYCACGTATATCAGCAGATAATACACGAGAAACATTTTCACACCGACATCAGTGTTAACATCTTCCCCTCATGRTGTTCCACTACATTCACCCGTTGTATCTGTCTGTCTGGAGATCAGCTGCTGATGTGCATGAGCTCAAAAAGCTGAAAACAACTACAACTTCACTACTGGATTCCAGATTTCTGTGATGCAGGCATGAAATGACTGTGGATGCATCTGGATGTGCTTCAGATCTCTTAGACCTGTTTGCTGCAGCAGAAAACTGYTTTCATTCCATCCTGATTTTAGGAACTAAACAAACAGATGAAGTCCAACTCCCTCCATCACCTTACAGCTCTCACCTGCTTCCTGCAGAGAGACCATCACTTTGTTTTCAGTCCTGTTAGTGTGGAAGTAGCTGCGATGATCATTTTCTATTGTGGCTCCAACATGTGATTATCCAAAGCCAGATGCAGATCCTTCACAGTGCCAGCTTCAGCAGACTTGTTTTTCTGAGGAAAGAGGTCGTTTCTCACTTGATGGTCAGCAGAAGTAGCTAATAGCTGCGGCTGGTTTGAGCGGTTGTTTTATTTCTCCTCTGGGTAAAGAAAGTGCAGATGACCTCTCTGTGGTGTGCTTTTTGTCAGTTTCTTTTTTCTCTTTAAAAAAGCAAAGTTTTTCCAAATACTGACTAGAAGTGTAGAAGGTTTTGTGCGTGTGTGCGTCTGTCACGCATTCATGTGTTTCTGTTGTGTCACATCAGACCTATGTTTTTGTTAACAAAATATTCTTACCAATAAATAAAAATATATTTTAACATTTATAAATCATGGAATCCATTGACATTTGATTACAGCTAAAATCACAGTAAAGTCWATATTTGAGGTTTTAGCCAATCATATGTCTTCACAGTGAGCTGCTGCTTGTCTCCAGCAGTGACTGGGTGAGAGGACACCCAGGACTGAACCCTGGACAGGTCACCAGTCCATCAGTGGACCCACTAATGTAGTACAATGTACAAATAGAACACTCTTCTCAACTATTTTGCATTGTTGTTGTCAAAACACTAAAACTTTACTGAAAACTTTAAATATATTTCATAAAATATTTTAT